GGTTGTGTGGGGGGTGGCGGTTGTGTCGTTCCTGCTGGTGGTGGGTGGCGAAGAAGGGAATGTCTGGAGGGGGGGGTGAGAGAGAGAAGGGGTAGGTTGGTGGGGGGGGGGGGTGGGTGGGGGACTGGGCGCAGCTGGAATAGACCGATACATTACGTTCAAAATCGTAGATTTTAGACATGTTTATCCTTGTTTTATTTGTCGATCAAGAACTCCACCCTCTAAAAAGTTTAGAACTTAAGTTTGGCTTAAGTTCAGAATTTTTCGACAAAATACCTGTTAGAATCCTTCTTGATGTGTTCTTTCGGGTGTTTAGGTTTCCTAAAGCGTCTTTTAATTCCCTGACATCTTCATTCATAAAGTGTTAAAATTTCGTCGCCATCTTGCCACTGAGACGTACGCAAGGTTGCAATGACAATTTTGTAATTTGTCACCCATGATATTTTTTATTTTCTCTCTCAATATTATCACTCGCGCTTCTGAGTTGTTTTATACTATCATTTGAATAAAGGCAATGTTGTTGGTTAGTTGCTAGTATGACGAGGCTGTAATTTCCAGGTTTTTATATCTGACTTTGCCAAGTACTAAAAAAAAAACAGATGTGTTCCACCGATCAGACTAAGATGCCGGAAAACTACCCACCTACCCCTCTCCTCCAACCCAACGTTAACACTAACTTCTTATTAATAGCAAATCTGGGGTTAGAGGAGGAGTAGGTGAACAGTTCGCTAGGATCTTATACTGATTCCTCTTCTAGCTTTCAACTTTGGCACTTAAAAAACTTAAACTTTGACTAGGAATGGACGTAGTGGTCGATCAAGGCAAAATCAGTCGAGCATAGTGGAGCCTGGATATAGCGAACCTTTTTTTGCCCCATCAGTCGTAACATTTATGGGACTTAGCGAGGCCACGTTCTAGCAAACTTGTTTTGCAACTTCCTTAGCCCTTCGTTTTCGAGATTACACTGCAGTAGAGAAGTTGGAAGAGGATATATAGTGCCGGCACTATGTCCTCCTTTCTTAGCTGTTAGCTTTTTCCTTTGTTCAGTTGTAAAAGGGTCTAAGACTGATTCTCTTCTTGAACAAGTCAGCCTCTAGATGGTACGGTCATTCCAATATTGTTACACTCAAATATCGGGCTTCTTCGAAACGGTAATAGAGGTTACGGGATGTATCGTTAGTGCTAGGGGCAGGTTGAAAGAATAAGGTATCTGTTCGCCATAGAGGACATTGAATCCGGGTCATTCCTGTCTGATTAAGTGTTATTTTTAGGTTTTCTTTTCGGCTGAATAAGCGGCTAAAATCACTGCAAGAATTCCCACCATGACACGAATACTTAGACAACACTTTGCCACCAGTAGCCCGGCTCGACTGACGTAAGGTCACTTTATATCCAGGACTGCACTCGGCGTAAAAAGCAATGGTACTTTATCATTTTCCTCCTTAAGTTGGTATAGATAAACTTGATATTATTAAAAAGTATCTTCCCTAAAACTTATTGGGAATAGGTAAAAGCGTCTTCCCGCGTACTAATTAAGTGTTTTCATGGCGCAACACTTTTAAAATAGAAACAAGCGTCCACGTTACCGGAGAGCGTAAAATGACATGACTTTCTCTTATTTGCAAGAAAAATTAGAGACTTACAGACCACCGACGCATCAAGATTGTCTAGTTTTTAACGTAATTCTAACTAAAATAACTTCATATCTACAACAACTTTTATATCTTTATTGGCAGTTCAAAATATGTGTCATTTTATGTATTTCCATTTATTTCCATCCATATAAAAACTTCATCCCAAAGTGTCTCGATAACGCTCTGCATTCGATTAAATTTCACCAACATCGACACGGCTGTTGGAGGAAAAAGCTCCCGTGAACGATTTTGGAAGAAAAGTTCCAGTGCCGAGAAACACGACTGCAAGTAAAATAGGTAATGGCGTCATTTCGTTGCTATGACAACTCCGATGTTATTGCAACTCTGATCATGACAACTTTTTATCTTTACCTAAAACAGCTGTAGGGGTAATTTTTCCATGTCTTTGTTAATGGCGACGTAGTTTATGCTCAAACTTGGGAGGTATTGACCCTGAAAAACCCCATCCAGCCACTGGCCTTAAGTTAAACGTCATTGTCGCCTGTCGCTGTTCTAGGATTAAGCTTCCAGGCTCTTCCTTTCTGGTTATTTTAATCAATCAATCAATGAGCCAATCAATCAATTCATTTATGTCAATACGTGGGATGGGGTGCCCCGATCATCCGAGCCAGAGGCTCATGTATGAAACGTATGAAAATAAAAAAACACGAAGTTAATAATAATACAATACAATTCAGGAAAAAACTAATTTCAAACGATCATACATGTAAATGTATAAAAACAAAAAATAATAATAAATCCGTGAGTGCTCAAAGTGACACCTTCCTGCATCCCACTGAATTAATTTCAAAAACTAAAAAGCGGAAGAATAAGTTAAAAACCCATAAGAAAAAAATCTTAATTAACTAGTTCTTTAATAGTTTCCCTAGTGACGTTTTTGATAAAAGTGCCTTCTTAGAAAGCCATGAAGTAACTAATTAGCAAATAAAAATGTCTTCTACACATAGTCAACTTTAAAAACAAAGAAAACTAACAATTTTGTGCCATGTGAACTTTAAATGTTTGTTCCTTGAATGTACACTGTGAACCAGAGTACAGCACAGGCAACTCATTGCCGTAAACGAGCTTGGATTACGCAATAATGGACGCAATTTTACACCTGGGGCTGTTTTTTCACTAAGGCTTTAAAACTAAACTTTTGTTTCTCTTTGAAGGAAGTGAAAGGTACATTATTGATTTCACGCGTTTCACAAGCAGGGGGTTGGGAGAACGATCATCTTAAGATCAAGAAAATAACAGTCTGTCAAAGAATGTTTCCTCTGGTCAAGAAACGTCGATTCAAATTCGAAACGGTACACTGTTGATCGCTTGAAAAATAATAAGTAGCACAACCATTTACTAGAAATTCGACATTCATCTACCGAACTCTAAGTTAACGCTAGGAAAAAAACATTTAGATTTTCAGGTACCACATCAATAAAAGAAGCTACATCGCTTTCCATTTTTAAGAACATTCTTAGACTTCATTTTAGCCTTTAGTTTTTCTCATCAAAATCCCAAGGTAACTTACGGTAGCTCACTTATTCGTGTTTATCTTCAACAAATTGTGATTGTATGAAGATCTGTAATTTCCTTTTTGCTCACTTTTTAAAGTCCTTGTACGTAATTTTTAAGTAATTTATATTTAAATTTTTATCACGTAGGCATAATTTACGCAGGGCCCCTTTTGATAACAGCCAGTGGCTGATAGGGCTACCCTGCCTATGACTTGACTTGACTTGACTGTAATAATTTGCAAATTCGATTATTATAGGCACTCGTCGCGCGTGTCTCACTATACGGTTACGTCCGTTAGACTGCCTGTGTCTACTACCACTGGTCATACTACCAGTCGTACGAAACTAATTTTCTCTATCAGCAAAACAAATACAGTATGAGACTTCTCCATGCAGGTTACGTCTCCCTACTCTTTGGAACACTGTATTTAAACGTTTTACGTTCTCCATAAAATCCCTTTTATACGAGTTCATTTTTTGCCTACTTCTAATCCGTTTAAATAGAGGATATAACGTGGCCGCGCGGGGATACGAATTTTATCTTCGAGTGCTGAAAGTATCTCTCATATATAATTTCAGCACGAGAAGATAAAATCCGTATCCCCAAGCGGCCATGTAATATTCTGCTTATTTTATAGATACTAATGAAATCCCTACATAAAACACAGCTTTTTTTTATTCATTTTCGAAACAGCAAAATAGTGCAATTAAAGTGGTCATCTATCACAAAATGCCTGTCACAAAAGTGTTATGAAACTCGGATATAAAGTTATATAGGAGAAATAAAGACTTAAAGACTCTTGTAATTGACTTATCATGTTAGTAACCATGGCGACACCAACATCCTCACACGTGAAAGATAAAAATAGTATCTTCACTGCGCACGATGAAGATACGATTTTTTAGTAAAAGGAAAACTCCTGGTATTTCATCAATATCTATATAATAAATGCAAATACCTAACTAAAATTGTTATAAAATATTTGAATATCAAATATTTACATAGGGTAGGTGACCGTCAAACAAAGTAGTTATTGTATTGTGCTGCAAGGTAATCGATTGATCCAGGGAATCCGTAGGAACAGCTGGAGTCTACTTTTCATTTCTGAAGCTGATCTTGCTCCTAAAAAGTAAGCAAAAGAGAGAACGGATGCCATTACCAAGCGGGCAAGAAACTAGTGTCCGATGGCCAGCGGCTGGTGAATTTTGCTATCGGGCTAGTATTGAATTCTGTTCTTACCGCGCTTTTCAAAAACACGCGAACTCTGAAGTTTAAAAGCCGCCTTCACAATTACATTTTTCGCTGCCGTCAATCATAATTAGGATCACAAGCAACAAACCTGGGCTAGTACATGTAAGCTACAGCTTGCCCGAATGGCAAGCTGTAAAACTGACTTTCTTGATGAACACTTTGCCACCAATGATTCAGTTAAATGATAAGATAACAACTCCGGGAAACCCAGTTACTAATACAGTCCAACCTCCGCCAACGGTCACCTCTCTACAACGGCCACTTTTTTTCGTGCCGGCGGACTAAAAATCCATACTATGATTCTTGTGAAAACCTCTTTACGACGGCCACTTTCTTCTGTCCCCAAGGTGGCCGTTGTATGGAGGTTCGACTGTATGTTGAAAAACAAAAAATGGCAAAAAAGAAAGAGGGATGTGATGCGGGTGGAAAGGGTAGCGTTTCTTTCCTACCAAAATTATCATCTGGTGCTCACATGGGAGTGAAAGGGAACCTACACATTAGATGCATAAAAAAATTGAGAGAAAAGTCATTGAGTAGAGTGGGAGTGGTTGTGTAAGATTTCGATTTTCGTTCATTTCGATTTTCGTTCAGGGAGTGAGCCTTAGGTCACATTGACATAGTGAGCCTGTTAAGAACTGTTGTCGTTCCCTCGGGACCTTTCCAATCAGTGCCTTTCATGACTTATGGTCAGTTATGGTTCCCTCGAGAGTCTCTAGAATTTGTATATTTTCATTGCTAATTTTACGCACGGCGTCGTTGTCATCTGTTATTAGGGAGCTTTAGCATCGACGACGGCAACGGCAACGGCAGCGAAAACGCCAGTTTTAAAATGAATTCCAGTTTTTTCAATCTTTGTCGCGTTTATTCCAATTTGCTGAAAATGGCAAGTGTAGGCGAATTTCCCTGGAGTTGATTTCTTGAGGACCGCACTCAAGTTTAGAGAGAGAAAAAGAGATTCGTCTTCACTTGTTTACGTCCTCCATAAAACTTGCAGTTAGGCATTTTCACATCGTGGTCGTGCAAGGACAGTGAGAGCGATTCCTGTAACGGAGCGAAGCTGCGCGGCGCCAATCTATAAAGTAAAGAGGCACATATCGATCGGATAGGTGTTCATACAATAACAGATAACTTTTTCTTTCTCGTATCGTCACAAATAGCTATCCGGTGTAGTGTGAACATAGCCCCAGGGAAAGGTAATACCCCAGAAGTGGGTCCCAGATTTTATTTACGTCATAAAACGAAAAAGGCCGTGTGCTTTTGCAACACCACTTTTCAAAATTCTCCTTTCACGTTCTTTGTAGCAGTCCCTAACATGACACAAAAAAATCAGTTGTTTTTATTATTATGGTTTTATTTTTTTACGAACACCACTATCATTAGTTTAGGACTCACCTCTTACTCTTCCTTTCGTCCTTAATTTGGCTTCGCAGCTTCACCTGGATAACTTTGAACTTGTGTCTGGAATGCTTTAGGCCAATAGCGATGAAACCTTTCCAAGGGTGACTTGCCAAAGAGTACACTTGATTGTACGGGTCAATGTCAATCACACTTAACAGATTTCCTGACCTAATGTTGTACAGTAGAAGACGAAAACCATTTAACACGTCAAAAGTATGCAACACGCATTCCTCGTTGCTTAAAAATTTACAATCATAGACTCGTTCTACTACACATAGTTTTCGAAGCGTGTCTCCTGACGCTGCATCAAGGACGTAGACGCCTTGTGGACCATCGAAAAAACAAGGAAAGTTGACGCCTTGTTGATGACCTGCAACTTCTCCGGAAATAACGAGAAACTCTTCCGCAGGTGAAAACATCGCTGGAAGGTTGAATACTGGATCTGTATTTTCGCGAGACCACTTTTTTTCCCAAAAGACAGAATAACCTGAGCTCAAGAGACCGTCATCTATGGTTATAAGCTGACGTTTGCTGCTACATGCAAGAACTGAGCCCCAAAAACCGTAACGATTCCTTTTCGCTTTGATTTCTTCTTTTTCTCCATTTGTGATATCCAGAATAACACAAACACCATCGCATCTGTGTCCTGTACATACCACGTGCTTATCTGAAACTGGAATCAGTTTTGTCACGTGCATTCCCTTTATGTCATCCCAGCGTCGTAAGCACTCCGAAAAATTACCATTCCACAACTCCACACTGCCATTTCTTGTTATTAACAGGATACCAACGTCAACAGGTACGACACAACATCTTGTCGAAATGTTACTAAGAATCTTTGTCTCTTCTTTGTTTACCCCATTTGAAACGTCCCAAGCTGAAATCCGCGTGCCATCACTTTCGCAGTCCATAATATAAAGTGTATCGCCATCAGGAGAAAATACCAGATTGTCAACAATTTTACCAGCATCACGGTTTTCACCGCTTCTAGAAAGTTCATCTACGGACAACATGTCAACAAAATGGCTTTGGGGATTACTTCTTAGACCGAAATCTTCATTCAGCATAAACACAAATGAATAGTTAATGACGCGCATGCCATCAGACGCACTTCCAACCACACACTCTAGGGAGTCCCCCAATGCAAAACCACTTTCGCTACAAGACTCATGCTCCCAAGGACTATAAGAAACAGTGTCCCGAGAAACATCAAGGGAAAAGTTGCCATCGTTTCCTACATTGACTTTTACATGGAAAAGGTGATGTGAAACGGTACTTGGTGGAAAATGCCAACAGAAAAGTGATCGACAGTCGGGTGTAAACTTAATGATGCCACAAACGTACGAGAAGAATGTTTCGGCTAGCATTTGAAAACCACTTATTGCATCTAGTAAACAAACTAAGCCCGTTGAATGGGAAATTGCAAGCAGCTTTCCATCTTGAGACCTGGCAAAAGACAAAATACCTTCGTTCGTGACGACACGACTCACCTCCGATCCATTCTCTAGACTCCATAAGATGAGGCATTTCGCATCTTGAGGACAGTCAGTGATAATTGTATTGCCAGAAATAGAACAAGCAGTGAAAATACACTTGCTTTCAGGAAAAAGAGGATTCAGGTCCCCACCAAAATTGTATGCATAGCAAAGTACCCCTGGTAAGATTACATCCTTAGTAGGATGAAAAACAACAGAACGAAAACAAGATAAGGATACTGCACTGTAGTCAGACAAATTTGAGCAAGAAAAATATGGTGACTGCAAAGATGGCCACCATCTTAAAGCGTGAGAAGAGTAGCCGTAATTTTTCACAAATACTACAGGACACTTCCATATTAAGTTGCCAGTATGGAGTGACCACAGATGAATCATGCCGTCGAGACATTCACAAACCATGAGTCCTAAGCGATGTGAAACATCAAAACAAGCCACTTGAGATGAACAAGAAAATGTGGATAAACAAGCTCCGTGGAGATCGTTCTTGTTTAAGTATTCCATGTATGATATGTCAGAATACTTAGTCTCCAAAAGTTTCGAGGCCTCAGAAGAGAGCTCTGGCCCGCCTTCATTTAATAGTGTTTGAAAAATGCACCTAGGAAGGTTTTTAAGTGATCTGCTATGCTTTCTTAACAGAAATAATAACGTTTCGAGGGATTTCAATTTCTTCAATTCATTTTGCTCCATGACACAAACGATATCTTCAGAGGGTATTGCGCTGTTTACGCGCAGCTTTGCATACACAAGCTCAACGTCCAGGACATACATATTCACCAGATTCTCAAGACTGCATGATTTTGTCCTCTCATCATCGGCCATTTCTAACATATGTTTAACACCATGTTGAAGCGCGTACCTAGCTGTGTCACCGAAGGGTTCTGAGTCACTAACACCTTTTCTTTTTACTTCATCGAACTCTCCCATGCAAAGTTCAGCAAGGATGCGATGGCCTTCGTCCTTGTTCACACTGAAATTGTGACTTCCGTAGGATGACTTGTCAACGAGCCAGTCCTTCAATGACTTGTGAAAAAAGTGCACGCACCCATCTTGAACAGGTAAAAGTGACGATATACAAGAAACTGCCTTGTTCGTCTTTCGCTGAGCAGATGAGAGTAAAATGCCAGGGAATAACAGTTTGGAGACAAATTCGATAGGCAGTGGTTCTTTTGCGGCTGCTATGGCACTTAGGAAACTAAAAAACTGATCTTCGGTTGTCTTCAGTTCTTTACTAAGAACAGTCTCCAGACGCTTGAAATAGGACTGATAAACAGATGAAATACCTGACGGTATAGCGCTCTCGAGGTATACCAATGTGAGAGTTTGCACGCTCTCCTTCACGAAATCTATCAAAAAGCGAGCGCATAGTATGACACCTTCCGACATTCCCACCAGCTTTTTCAAGATTACTTCCAGATTTTTGGCCGGCAACAAATGGCTTAGCTGATGCTCCATCAAAATGCGAATATCCAGTAAGTTTTCCTTGTCGTTGGATTCTAGCACAAGAGGTGATAAACAGCTTAGTCTTTCCCAAATGTTCATTTCTGGCCGCGTTGTTACCAGGAACCGGATCCAAAGTGGAAGCTTGTTAAAGTAGTTGCTTATCACTTCTAGTAACTCATTTCGCCCTTGGTATTCACTTTCATCTAAGGCGTCGATTACAATGAGAGAAGTGACACCAGGGTCATGTACTTTGCGCAGCGGTTCTTCGAAAAGTAATTCGAACAGATCTCCCACTTCCATGTCATTCATTTCCAAGCCGAGATTTCTAGAAAGTTGCTCCACAAGCGCTTTCCTGTATTCTGGCAGATAACATGACATGTGGGAAGCCAATGACTGCAGCATCACCTTGGGATTCCTGTGGCGTGTCTTGTCATGTTGACAAAAATGGCTTCCTGACAACCTTTTACTTTCCTGTATTCTTTTGCACATCTCTCCAGCAATCACTGATTTTCCCATTCCTGCATTTCCACTGATTACTAGCACACGGTTGCGTGAGCTTCTGTCATCCAGCCAATTAGTTACTCTGGCAAAAACCGACGCACGGGTTCCCTCTAAATATCTTTCTGAGTAACACTCTACGCTACTTTGCGTGTCTACTTTGGCAAGCTTCCTCAAGATTTCGTCCGAGCGGTTTGAGTTGAGTTGGGACTGACGAATTTCTGTAACAACTTGATGTACACCTTCCAGCTTGGTCTTGCTTTCCTGGCAAGTTTCATGGGTCTCCAGAAGAGTTTGTTTTATTTCTTTCTGAGTTTGACACACGTCCTTTAACTGTGTTTTGATGTCCTCTTCACTGTCAGCCCAATCACGTAACGCTTTAAGATAATCTTCCTCTCCACCTCGCTCTGCTTTGAGTCTGTCAATTTCTGATTGCTGTAACCCAAGAGCCACAAGAACAGGGCTGATTTCCTGCCACAGACGAGAAAAGGAATGAGTATCAACACCAGTACTGGTCACATGACCATACAACACGTTACGGAAATGCTTGACACGAGCAAGATTCGCCTCGTCAGAGTTGTCACTAACGGGTGGTTTAGTGTGCCATCCTGTGGGGGGAGGGGACAATCCACAAATGTTGGTCAGAAGAAGAAATAAAAGAGTGATGTCAAACGTATTGGAGTCTGGCATGGTTCTCCCAGGCGGGAACAGTTTATTCCACTGATGACCATTTAGAACCCTTCGCCGCAAGAGGTTGCTGAGAGTGGAATAATTGGCATTGAGATCAGCAGCTAAATTAGCTGGAGGGTGATGATGATTGAAAACATTTCTTAGAACTGTTGTTCCACCATCGATAAGAAGCCTGCTCAGCTTGGCTCCATTTGTCTTCTCTTCAGAGCTGCCCAGGGGTGATGGTGCTGCAGCTGCCATTCTAATCCATCTTTTTAATTAAAGGAAAAGAAAAATACATAATTTATTTCCTAATTGATTGAATGATTAACTGATTGGTTGGTTGTTTGAAACATGATTTTATTTTTATTTACACAAATAAAATGATACCTTTAAAGCACTCAAGATGATAGTTTGCTAAAAAAAGATCATATTGATTTTGTCACCTATGAAATACCTACTTCTATCAGTTCTGTGACACGTTTTTCAAGAGTTGTATAAATAACTATAAAGTTTTAACTAAATGAGTTCGTAAAATGTGTTACTTCTAACAATTTCTTCACGCTTTAATCATTTTTAGACCTTTTTATTGAACCGATCAGTTTAAAGAATATTTCTGAAATATAAAACTATTTGTCTGGGACAATTCAAATAAGGGAACGCGTCCAAATATCGGTAGGGAACCCGATCATGGGAAACGGACCCCATTAATTTTCCGATTGATCGGAATCGGTACCGATCTATAGGCACCAGTTGCCGTTTCCGATTACGATAAAAACTTTGCCGATTCAATCGGAGCCGGTTGACATTCCGATGTTCATATGTGTCATCGTCATATTATTTTATCTGATATGTAAAATGAAGCGTGTCACGAACCAAATAATGAAAGAGTCGTTTCACTCCAAAATAATTTCAATCGACTGTACCTTTTTCCTACTCCATAACAAATAGCAATATTGTATGTTCCTGCATGTTGTGTTTCGAGTTTGTTGATTTGATGCTTGCCTATACACGTGATTTTCGGCGTTTTGCAGACGTATTTCCTTCAGTCGATCGCAAACACCACGCTGCTCCATAACATTTATTCTATGAAAATTAAAAGGAGTTAAATATTACGAAGCAAAACACCACTGTTCTTCGTTGATATATAGCAAACAAAACACCTTACTGAGTAGTGTGTTCTTTACTCGATACTTTCTAACAATGCAATCCAAAAACACAACCGGAACTCACTTTTCCGAAACGCAACTGGATTCATAGACTTGTTACAAGTAGACCTCAACGGGTTTCCTAGCGAGCGGAGCGAGAGCAAAACCATGGATAATATAAAACCACGGGATAAACTTTTACGAAAATTTGCGTCTTTCATTCAACGATCCTAAACGCAAGGTGTAATGCGATCTGAGGCAAAAAATACTGACCAATTAGATTGCGGCCTTAGATTGTCTCCAGGGAATTAGCAACAAGAACTGAAAGATTCCCACACTCGCGAGTCACGGAAGACACGGAACGAAGTTTCATACAGGAGCTACCAAAGAGAGAATGGCTTAGCGACTTTGCTGTATGTTCTGTGAGCTTGAGCATGGTGCCACGTGAAATTGCTTTCCACTCTCAGCACTTAGAAAAATTTGCACTTGACTCTAGGTGGCTGACTTTTTGACAAAAATCAGAACCTTTTTTACCGGAGTGTTCAACTAAAGCAAACTGTGCATACATCCGGTAAGTTCGACTCAATTTAATAGCGGAAAGAGAATCGAGAAAGAGAAAACCAGTTGAACGCCTCCATCAGTCACTTTTTTGAGTTCATATGCAACCAATAAACAAGTTGCAGCCTGATTCTCAGACGATGTCCTCTTCTCTCCTGTGGCAATTTAGCAGTTAAAGTACACAACATGGTAACAACATTTGCATTTTGGTCGTGGATGTTCTGACTTCTATTTTTTTCGTTTACAGTCCTAAACTGTTTATTCCTCCAAAGATTCCTATAATCATGCGTTTTGGGTTCCGGTTAGCACAGGCTCAAGCTATTTTAAAATTATCATTTTGAGATCGTACACTTGCAATGTACATTGCGCCGTCTTTCACTCAAAAGATGCTCTTCAGCGTTGTTGAATGACCTGCAGTTTCTTCTCGTGCCCATTTTGATACACAAATTTAATATTTTCTGGTCATACTCTGTCATAGGAAATACAAACAAATGTTCGAAACTGTGACGTTAAATTTCGGTTCAAACAAGACACATTTATAAGAAAGATAAGGTTATAAAAAACAACATTCACGCTTTTGCTTTTGCTTTTGTGACGGGTTATTTGAGCTGCCAGATATTTTTGATGACCTTTGTTAATTGGCCCGATAAAGACTTGAGACCCGTTGCCGATTCCGTTTCATTCGGTGCCGATAAAATCGGGTCCGACCTTCAACGGAATCGGAAAAAATCGGTGCCCAATTGATCGGCATCGGTGTGACCCGATGCCGATATTTGGACGCGTTCCCTAAGGGCCCTGCCTCTATTTTCTGTGTGTCCTATGTCCTTGCAAACCATGATTAAGCCTTTTCACTTCTCCATTTGAAATGACCTTGACTGTTACTTGCAGAGTTAAGTACGTTACTTACAGATACAACTTACCACATTGATTTTCACTTTTTATACCACTCCTATACCTGAACCAGCTTCCTTTTGTTCTTCACAACCTGCAAAGTATGTAATGGAGGGAATTTATATCAGACAAGACATTTATTATCATAATATTGCTTGTACAATTTCTTGGCACGCAGTTAGCCAAAAACGCTAGTCACGGTGTGCCAAATTAATGCTAGTACAAATCAGATATTACAGGTAATAAGTAAAAAGGAAAAAAAAAAGAAAAGAAGAATATGTGTGATAAAGTCAAAAGTGAGGAAGACACTCTTGAAAGAGCTGCTAAAAAAGGGCTATGAATAAGGGAGTTGATTCTACTTATCTAGTTATCTGAAGATTACTCCAGATTTTAGAAATGGATCTTGAGCCATGCACACTGCACCCTTTGCATAATAATGACAAATACAAATACCCAGGGTGCAAAGAAAATCATTTTTGAAGCTTGCCATTTGGGCAAGCTGAAGCTACAATCCTGGACAAAACTGCTGAGAAAGTTTTCCCCATCATGTCCACTTTCTTACGCAACAAAACTATTTCCAAAACGACACCTTTGCGGAAAGAAAACCCCTTCCCCCAATTCAATGTTGCTTCCCACAAACGCCCAGGGATCAAGCTTTCTTTTGAATACACAATAACATTGCTTTCAGGGAAAGGGGGAGAGGGAAGAACCGGTACAGCTACGATGTTTAGAAAAATGCTGTCCAAGTATACAATTTTCTCAACAGATTGTAGCATTTACTAGCCCAGACATCATTTCAACTAGCCCCAAAAACTTTTTGACTAGCAAAGTTGATTTCATTCTGTTATTCAAATTCCTCAAAAAACATCACTTGCCCGTCGGGCAAGTTAAAAACAGAATTCACTGGCCTGATAGCAAAATCCACTAGCCCCAGGCTATCGGACACTACTTTCTTTGCACACTGAATACCAATACTAATAATTTTTTTACAATAATAATCATTAATGTGATTTTTTACTTTTAAAAATAAGTACATAATTTACAACAAATTTTTAAATTAGAATGAAGCAAATTATATAGAAAATTAACCACTACAGTTGCCTCCCGGTAACTCGAACCCTCTTTTACTCGAACCTCCCGCTAACTCGAAGCAATTTTCATTTCCCTTCAGATCGTTTTAATATAATCTGAAAAATTCTGAACTTTATGAGCCAAATTTAAGGTCTAAACATTTGAGAGAGTTGAGTTCTTAATCGATACAATCCAGGATAAACATGTCAAAAATCCAAGATTGCTAATGTAATTCATCACCCATGATATTAATAGGTAACCAAATGGTATACTCGTGAAATTAGGGAATAATTTCACTTGCATTTTGTCCAAACAAATTATTAGGATTTGGACAAAACGTGCATGAAATAATTCCCTAATTTCACTCGTCACCATTTGATTACACATACTAATTTTACCCTCGATAACTCGAACTCCCGATAACTCGAACTGGTTTCTATTTCCCTTGAAGGTTCAAATTATCAGGAGTCGACTGTATAACATAAATCATAAAAATTTAGTGGCAATCACATTTTACCACATTATACACGTACTCCTTGTGGCTTAGATGCAAGTGGTAGCAAAATATCTGACTTGCACACAGTTCAGTGTTTTAAATCAAATCATGACAAAATTTTTCATTTCTGATATCAAAAACAAGTTAAAAGAATAATAATAAAAATTATATGAAAATAACTGGACTCAGGCATTTCAAGGGGTAAGTAATGGCGCACATAGGAAATTACTTTAGAATAACATGACCAAGATGTCTGCTATAATTTTTATGACTTGTGAAGTCATTTTTCATACACAGCAAGTCTTACATGTGTGGTGCAATATTAAAAGATCTCAAAATGGGGAAAGTCATTTGTATTGAAATTTCAGTAATGAATTCAAGTAGATGCCATAAGTACTAGTAGAAACTCTCAACAAAAATGCCTTACTTTATTTACAAGTTATTTACTTCCTGTGAGGTTATCATTCTGGATGTCATGCAGTTTTAGCAATTTCTTTCACTCTCAAGTATCCAGTTCTAAAACTTGCATCAGATTGAGAAAATAACCACACAGGAAGCAAGAATCCACCATATAATTAAAGAAAAGTATTTTTAGTGAGACTTTCTGCAAGTACTATATTTATCTTGTTGAATCCAGTAACACTAGAATTGTCATATAAATTGGGTAATTATGTTGATATATGTGGCCACTTTGATAGGTGGAACAGTAGGTTTAATCATTATTTGCAAAAATGACCTCTTGTTCCACCTCAGTACATCTTGGGTACACCTTTACAACCTAGCTAGCTTGTCTGTGAAGTTTTAAGCACTTATTTATGTTTGCTGGTTGGCTCAGCCTGAAATAGTCCCAAGCAATTTAGAAAGATGTTCCCCATGCATGGAATTCACTTCATTCCCTGAAAAAGATAACAATCCCATACTATATAATTTACAGAAGGATTCTGGGTCATTTAGTCATACATACCGGTAAGCATACAGCTAATCTTGCTTATAGTAAAACTTAGAGGGGTCATCTTGTGTAATTTGGGCAACCCTAGGCCGAGCATCAGTCTACACCATTGGCTTAAGAAAGCTGACTGCAAACAAAGAATCCATTA